GTGCATGAAGATCCGATGATACCCCGAGAATGCGTCCATGAAACTAAGCAGAGCATGTCCACTTGTCGTGTCGACCAATTGATTGATCCTCGGCAAGGGGTAGAAGTCCTTCGGACAAGCCCTATTTAGGGCCGTGAAGTCAACGCACTCTCCAGATGCCATTTGCCTTCTAAACCATCACCACATTGGCCAGCCATTCCGGATATTGACAGGGTTCGATGAAGCCTGCATCCAGAAGTTTTTTGACTTCGGCTGGATGTCTCGGTTCTTATTAGCTGAGTAATTCTGCTTCTTTTGCTTGACAGGTCGACAGGTGGGGTCGACGTTCGGCTTGTGGGAGATGAGGTTTGGATCGATCCGAGGCATGTCTGCTGCTGAGAAAGCGAACACATCTCTGTTGTCCCGAAGGAGTTGGATAAGTTCAACATGAATATTCGGGTGAAGCCCGATCCTGATGCTCACACATTTTTCTAGGTCTCCTTCGGTTAACTTAATTGACTCGGTCTGCTGGTCCAAATCCATTGCTTTGGAATTGGACTCTTTGCAATCTGCCCTTCTGACGATATCAGCAGGCGTCCTTGACTTCGACTAGGCTTTCGAATCTTTCGGTTCGGATAAAGAACTAGTATTTCCTCCCCCCTTGGCTTTTCTTGGGTAGGAGTACCCTGAGCCGAAGCACTTAATCCTTTTTGCTTCGGTCCTTTTCTTTTTCCCCTCCTCATCCTGTTCGTCGCAGCGACTTTTGATGGCTTGAGGTAATTGCATCTGCAGGATTCTTTTTGGCTGCCTTGAATTCTTTCGGAGTGGCCCTCATCTGAAACATATATCATCATTTGATGATACATGGAGACCACTCCTTGAATTTCGTGAATTATGGGTCTCCCCATGATCACGTTGTACACAGATGGAACATCCATGACCGGAAATTCGGCCATGACGTTTCGAGCTGCTCGGTCTCTGCCGATGGTGACGGGAAGGGTAATCTTCCCATCTGGGTATGTTGCAGACCCATTGAATCCGGATACCGAGTAGGATATTGGAGTCAGGTCCTTGGTATGCAACTTAAGCTGGTCATACGCCTCTCGAAAAAGGATGTTTGCCCCACTACCGCCATCGACGAGGGTTCGCCAGATGTTGTGGTTTGCAATTCCCGTGATGATTACCAGCGGGTCATCATGGGGGTATGCTACCACCCGACAATCTTCGGCTGTGAACGTAAAGTTCGGCACTAGAGATTTTAGACTTTGGAATGCGGCATGGTTGACTTGATGGGTTAAACCCCTCAAGTGGCGCTTCCGAGCATTTTGGGATCTTGTCCCCCCATAAATGACAAGGATGTCAGGATTCTCTTTATCCTGTGGCTTTTCCTTTTTCCTGGGGAAATCTAGTTGCTTCCGAGAGTCTTTCTCAGCCTTTTTCTCCTCACATCGATCCGCGAGGTATTTTTTCAGATAGCCCTTTCAGACCATATCCTCGATCTGATCTCTCAGCTGGATACAATCCTCGGTGTGATGTCCCGGAGAGCCGTGGAATTCACACCATCAGTCCTTTTATTTCTGCTGATGCCACGAAGGTAGTGGCCTCGGCTTCTTCCACTTCTATTCGTCCTTCGTTATGCTGTAAATTTTAGCATGTGGAAGGGCAAGAGGAGTGTAAGATTCGTATTTACCTACAAATGGGGTTTTTTCTCTTTTCGGCTTAGTAGCCGAGGACAGTTCTGAGGATTTCGCCTTTCCTTTCCTTTGGCTCTGGCCTTCGGACGGTTGTCCTTCTGTCTTACCAGTCTTAGTTTGAGATTGGGACTTAGTTTTGTTCCACTCTTCGGCTCAGAGTACTTATTCGAAGCTTCTAGAGCTTCCTTCAGGGTATGTGGGGTATGTATGACCATAAAGTCAAGGAACTTTCCAACCTGTAGCCCATTCCGCAATGCGAAAACGGCTAGCCCTTGGTCCAGACTCGTAATTCTGGACAACTCATTGTTGAAGCGAGTCAGATAGTCTCGGAGGCTTTCGTCCTCCCCTTGCTGTAGGCTCATCAGCTATGTAGTTGTCTTCTCTCGGCGATTTACCGTAGAAAAATTGCTCTTGAACTTGTTAGAAATGTCTTTCCAACCGGTTATTGAGCCTTCCTTTACTCCCTTGGTGATCCACGCTTGTGCAACACCCTTGAGAGTGGTCGGGAAATACTTGCACCAGGTCGCTTCGAACTTAGGGTTCAGATACATGTGCTCCTCATAGGAGGCGATGTGGTCCTTCGAGTCCGAAATACCATTCATGTTACATTTGCCGGTATTTTCACCGTCGGCACATGCTCTTCCAGAATCTAGCTTTGGAAGGGTTAACTGCTGGGCACCATCACGACTTTCCCCTTGTACCCAGCCGTTGGGACCTCGATTCGCTCTCTCAGAGAGGTAGAAGTGGTTTTTGTCCTCGGCTGGGACAGTGCGGGGTACGGTGCAGTCCCTCCGGGGTAGCTGAAGCGACTGTGCACGCTCACCTCTCTTGAGCCGATACATTCGTGAATGTTTCGACGAGCAGTCTCTTGCCATGCAGAGATGGTGTTGTTGCTTTTGAAGCTTCGGGTTTTGGATTCCTCGAAGAACTGGGGGTTTCTTTCAATTCTCCAAGTATCCTCTTCCCATTTCTCTCTGAGCTCCCTGAAAGATGGGGCTCGCCCGCCGTCTTCTTGGCCGGTCCTCCTTCTCAGGATTCTCGGCTACTGAGGGGTGTCGGCGTGGACTGAGTGACTGGGAGGTGGTGGAAAATTGCCTGCTTAGGCCTTCATGAGGTCCATGAAGACCGCGAAGGTTTTCGCCACCTCCTCTGAGGTGGAACTCGTCTGAGGTGTGTATCCTCTAGGGTAGGAATGGGACTCTTAGCATTTGACTGGCTCGGCCGACGAGAGTCTGACGGCTGCGCAGTTTGATGAGATGGTGACTTCTCCGATGCAGCTCTCTTAAACGAGGCAGCCTCCGAAGAAGATGATGAAGAAGCAGCCTTCTTCAAGGAAGAAGGATTAACTTTCTTCGCGCTTTTCCCACTTTTAGTCATGTTACTAAGATGTTTAAATTTTGGGTTGTTTTTTTAATGTCTTCCCCACATGCGACGCCAAATTGTTTCGAGTGAAAACAATAGGTCCTTCGTCTGGACCTTTCTTCTGGGTTGACGACTGAACTCGGCCCAAGTGATGACTGGGATGAGGGTTGCCTGCACAGAAAACACACGTAAAGTGGCCTTGGGGGTTGTGCCGAGAAAGGCCCCTAAGATGCCGAAGTCAATACAGTGTTTAGAGAGAGAAAACTATGTAAGAGTATTAATTGCTTGAGGCTTAAAGTGAATGATCGTTGAGAGAGGAGAGTGAAGGCTTTTATACCTTGCTCAATAGATAAATGGGCCTTGAGGTCAAATGAGTTTACCATGTTGACTGGGCCTTTGAATGACTTAGCATGTGTTTGAGGGTTGAACCTTCTTTAGGCTTTTGTAATTAAATCATTTGTAGACCGACCCAATTAGAGTGAATTGGACCCAAACGGTACTCAATTGAAAAAAAAAATTAATAATTCTATTGAATTTTATTTTTTTCAGAGGAGAAGGGGCAAATAGAAAGTGGGTGTGTGAATACCCAAAAAAAAAAAAAAAGCATGCGTATTGCACACTCTAGCCAACGTAAAAAAACATTACTCAACAGCCGAATTATTGGTTAAGGTTTCAATTTAAAATAAAAAAATTATGATTTGAATTTTCCAGAGTTTAAACTATTGTTTTTTTTTTTTTTTTTTTTTTTTTGCAATTTGCAAAAGCTAGCTTTTAAAAAGGTTTGTGTTGACAAATTATTGCAAAAACGGGTTTGTAGTATTCCAAAAGAAGTATTGCAATAATTTACTATTTACTACACATTACTTAGGCCCTGTTCTTTTGAGTTGTTCTGCTCTTCTCTGCCCTACTCTGCTCTGCTTAAAAATAATAATTAATAATAATAATAATAATTAATATTTAATAAAAATAATAATAATTATTATTAATATTTAATAATAATAACTAATATTTATAGATAATAATAATTTATATTTAATAATAGTAATAATTAATATTTTATTATAATAATAATAATAATAATAATAATTAATATACAATATTAATTGATAATAAATTAATATTTTATATTATTTAACACATTTTCTAATGTTATAAAAAGAGTAAAAAAAATATAAAAAAATCAAATAATAATAATATTAAAAAAAAAAATAATAATAAAATTAATATTATTATTATTATTATTACTACTACTATTAATATTATTATTATTATTATTATTATTATTAGTATTATTATTATTATTACTATTATTATTATTATTATTATTATTATTATTATTACTACTACTACTACTACTACTACTACTACTACTACTACTACTACTACTACTACTACTAAAACAAAACGTTGTTGACGTCATCACTGTCCACATGTCACTCTCATAATAATAAAATTTCCCGCCTAAATGCAAGGATGATGTCATTTTTTTTTTTTTGAGCTATCATATTTAATAATTTTCAAATTTGAATATTAGAAGTTTTTACATTACAACTACAACCTATCAATTTATCCTTAAAAAATGAAATAATTTTAAGTAGCACACTAATAAATAAACTCCTATATTGAAATATATATTAGGTAACGTTGAACGGGTATTATATCATAATTTTAATGAAAATCTAAAATTTTAAAAGTACAGATATTTTTGTACAAGGTGCATAATTTTTATTTATACTTATTTATTTTTTTAAAAATGTACAAATTAAAAAAAATAGATTTTATATAAACCGTGCATTGCATGGGTTTTAACCTAATAATAAAAATAACGCTATAACTTTGTCTTGCTCTGCTCTGGTGAAATCTGTTCTTCCCTAATCTGCCCAAAAGCTCAAAAGAACCAGGTCTAGTTAAGCTTGAATAAATATTAAGTTAAATTTTGGGCCTATTTTTTGTTTTTTATTTTCTATACTCGTACATATAATCCCTGTGTAGTTGTGTTTGTGTGGGTTTTTAACTTTTTATTATTGAGTGGGAGAGGAACATACAACAAAAGGAGTCGACCAATTTCTTTTGATTTTTCCGTCGTCACCTATCACCGGAGATCTCATCCTCTCTCTCAATCTAGGGTTCTTCGCTTCTCAATTTCCCGTATCTTTCCAGTTTAATCTTTGGTAATCTCTCTCTCTTTCTCTTCGCTGTGTTTTTCAATTTGATATTGATGCTATGATGTGTATACATATTCAAATCTCTTCTAATTCGAAAACAGTTGATTTTCTCTGGTTAGGGTTTTTTTGGAAGATTCTGAACGAGTTCCTGAGCACAAATAGGAAGCATTAATCATGGTAAAATTACTCAATTTTAGCTTTTTAATCTACTCAATTGATAGAATTATTTTGATTGTTTGGTCAATTTTTGGCGAATTTGTAATTGGTTTTTTTGGGGAAATTTTCAGTCGGCGCTTTTCAATTTTCACTCTTTCTTGACGGTGGTGCTTTTAGTTATTTGTACATGCACTTATATCAAGATGCATTTTCCTGCCCTTCTTGAACAGAGAACTGGGTATGATTTCATATTTCTTTTTCAATTATTTTTTTGTTCTTTGATTAAACCTGAGGAATAAATGCTGGTGAATGTTTTATTCATTGTTTAGTTGAGCGGCTGCATTGTTTGAATTTTGAATATCTGAAGCTTGGAGACATTTGATCATTATAAGTTGCATGTAATACGCCTTCGGTTTTGGGATGATGTCCTTTCAATTTGAGTTGATTCTAATATATGTATACGGAGTACTTCTTTCCCAACTCCCACATAGTACCAATGCCTAGATTCTCTGATTTAGAAGAGTAATGGGAAGAGTATGAAAATGATATGACATTTAGTAAGGGATCTTTTAGTGAAATCATGACTTATCATTAGTTGTGAGGGACTGAGGGTTTAGTACTATGTGGCAACTATTAGGTCGGAGGACTACTCTTTTTTTTTATTATTATTATTTTTTTTTTTATTTTTTTATTGTCTCCACAGCTCTAATAATTATTAAGATGATTTTATTAGCTAGGAATGTTAGTTTGTGTGTGTTAAATGGAGCATTCTTCATCTACCCGTTGGGTAATCTACCCACGTAAAATAGATATTAATAGTTACTGGAATCTAAGTAACGTAAAATAGATTTTAACTGTCCATTTATATGGGTAGATTATCCAGTGGGTAGATGTAGCAATCTCTGTGTTAAATTAGGCCTTTACTTTGCTAAGCTGCAGTCTTTAGGAATTGATTTCTGTATAGATTGTTAGAATGCCTTTAGTTTTGTTTGGTTAGCAGCCAAGGGATTAGGAATTGCCACTTATTGAAGAGGGGTACTATTTTAATTTTCATGGTTGTAGGAAGCTGTAGTTGACTAGTTGGTCGTTATCTTTAGTCCTACCTTCTATTAATTGTGTGCTGATTATCCAACTAATAGTGGAACTAAGCTTGTACTCCATACTGGTGTAACCCAAATGACATTTATTAGGAATTGGAATTTCCTAATTTTATGTTGTCAACATAATGTGTCTTTATTCTGTATACAAATTAGCCATGGATTAAGCAAAGAGAGATTAGAAATTTGTTATTATAATTTGGCATGCTGCATGCGTTATGTGTATATTGTTAGGCATATGCTTCTCTAGGTACTTGTATACTTGAAACTCCACACATGATTGGACAGTAAACTATACTGGAATATTGGGAAATCACTTTCATGATTTTTAAACCTTTTATTGTATTAAGGCCATTACTAGCTTCTTGGGTTATTACTCAATGTGCTTATGGACAAATGGCCTCTTTTTCCCCTGATCTGATGTGAAATAAGGATTGGATATGTGGGAGCATGTCTTTGACCATGAAGCATATTATTGTGGTTCTTTATGAGTAGATAATATCATAATAGCTTATATCTAACACATGAAAGGTAAGTTGGTTGTTGTAGTTACTAGCAACTGTATCCTCTGAAATCTGTGTGACCTGTCATTGTTTCCAGATTAGTATCAAGTAGCTGAATCTTGTGCTCTTTAGCTTTTACCACCATTATCTTCTTGAGCCTAATATTTGTTCTGTTTTACCCATTTTTGTTTTGTGAGGGCCTTGTCATATATATTGGCGTAGCAATAACTGATGCATATGTAATTTCTTCAAAAAAAAAAAAAAAAAAAAAAAAAAAACGAAAGAAAGAAAGGAGGATCTTGTTTTGTTGATGTGAAGACTAGAAATGTGTATACTGTTTAATAGATAAAGCTTCATATTAGAAACTATTGTGTAAACCATTACTGCAGAACCAGATGAATCTCTGGGATATTACTTGTGCAAGGCATGTTGTGCTTGCTAATTCTTTGGAGCTTTAGTAATGTTTAGCATACCATCATTCTATATAAGGAAATAAGGATATTTTTAGTTAAAATCTGAATCATGACTGTAACCTTGTATTATGTTCAAAGTGCCTTGTTTCATTTCAGGATTAAAGCTGTATAACACTTTAACTTATCAAGTTGAAGTTACTGTTTAGGGAGGAGCTAGTCTTGTTGTAATCTCACTTTTCGTAGGTGTTGTTTTTTTTTTTTTTGGGTTTCATCTAATATTTTCTGGTCTTACAGATTTCGAGGGTTCTTTTGGAAGGCTGCTAGGATTGGTAAGCTTGTTATAGTTTTATTTTGTACGCTGAATATGGTTGTAATTGTTAGTGATGGCGTATCCTTTTTATCTCTTAGTATTGTAGTTGTGGCTTGATGGAATCCTTTGCATATTAAATCGTTCGCTCATCTTTGTTTAAAGTTTGCTGACAAAACACCGGTGATTTCATTGATTATACAATAACGCAATGGCTGTACCACTCTATCTCCTTCATTACACAGTTTACCTCTTCAGACTGCAATGCTGACTTATAATGATTCTAAAATTTCATATTGATTTATTTGATCTTGAAGGTTTATATCAAACATGTACATGATTGATTTCCGCATTTTATGGTAAAATGTAATAGTTGCCTACTACTATCTCATTTATATCTCAAGGTTTGATCTTTTAATGTACAAGAGAATAGAGGTTTATCCAGGTACTTTAGTTACCAAAAATACTGCAATGAATAATTTCCTCCTACTGCAAGAGATTAATACTACGTGAATGATATGAGCTTTGGCTTTGTTTGTTTTTATGGTTTTTTAAGCACACTCGTGCTTATATATGTGATGAGGTGGTGAACCTACAATATTCAGGGAAAGCTAATTTCTTTTACCATATTTTGCTGTTAAGCATGGTGCTTGATTTCTCCTTGATTGTAATACAATGGGTTTCATATGTGTGCTTATGGCGAGTTTTGCTGGAAATGCCATATGCTTCTGACATGTGTTCCTTGTTTATATGCATCAGGTGAAAGGCTGAGTCCATGGGTGGCTGCAGGATGCTTTACAATAGGTGTATCAATAATATTTTTCTAATAGAAAACCAATGTTATGTTTGCGAATTTTGCTCATGACAAGCTGCTCCTGGAATGTGAAGTTGAACCTCTCCAAAGTGTTTACATGAGGATTTTTTCGCACCTTTTGTGTCTAATCAAGGAGTTCATTTTTTTTAATCAAGTCTACTTTGTAATGTAGGACATTGATATTAATTTTACATCATGGAAAACCTTAGTGTAATTGTTTGTGACAGCATAATTATAATACTTGTAATATTGTGCCACGCAATACGCCAATACTAGTACCTGTAAGTACGGGTCTATATTTTCTACTACCTCTATGCTGTGTCTTATAGAGATTGTCATACAAGTAGTTTTGGATACTAGGACTCCAGTCCCAGTTGAAAGATTTGTTTTACAGGTGAAAAAAGTATTATCAGCTTAAACTATGTCAAATATATGAGTTTAATCCAAGCCAACTGTGCTTAAACAAACAATGAATTGTGCAATTGTGTTCCTTGGAAGATTAGTAGCCTTGATCATTGATTTTCCAAATTTTATATTTTTAAGAATTATAAGCAATATACTCCCCCCTATTTCCTTTTGATTGTTCTGTTTGAAATTTTAAGAGATTTTAATGTAATCGGATTCATCATGATATGATTTTTTTTTTTTTTTTTATCCAAATGTTAAATTTCTGTATGTTTCTTGTAACAAGTACACCGAGACTCTGTTATTACAATATTGCATTAGAAGTGTGTGATTCTAAATGATACCTTAAAGGGACTCTAAATGATACCTTAACGGGACTAAGGGAATAGCAACTCTAAGGCTCCATTTGTTTTCGTGGAAAACATTTTCCTAAAAAATGATTTTCCTTCATCTTTCTATTTTCCTTTGTTTATTTTGATAAGAGATGGAAAACAATTTTTCTAAAGGTGGAAAATTACACTTTAGAAAAGGAAAACCATTTTCCTTTGGAAAAAAAAGGTATATCACATTTTCCTCTTCACTCATTACTTGTCCTTATAGTCTCCTCCCATCCTTCATTTCCTTTTACTTCATTTTTCCTTTTCTCCTTAACTTTTCCTCTAATCAAACAAACAAAGAAAACTTGCTTTAAAATCATGTTTTTCATTGACAATTGTTTTCCTTGAAAAATGATTTTCCATGACAATTGCTTTTTCTTCAAAAAAAAACAGAGCCTAAATGTTACCTTAAAGAGACTAAGGGAGTAGGAACTTAAGTCAAAGATCATCCTCCTAAACCAAAATCATTTGGTGATATGGAATTGAGATAGTGTACCATAGCTTGTTAATAAGCGAGACAACAAGCCACTTATAATTGTACAATTAAAATGCTTTCTATATATTGTGATTTGAATTCCAGTTGCCAAATTTCATTATGAATTAAATAAAGAAATTACATTCAACTGACTGTTCTCAATTTGAAAGGCGTCGACCAAGTCTTGCACTTTCAAGGCTCTACTTAAAGTGACCTAAACATGTAAATATGCTCAAAAAAAAGTCCCAACTTCCATCCAAAAATGTTCAAGGCTTCACAAATTGCGCTATTTTGGAAAGAGCTGTTCTCAAACATCTAATGCCAGCTCCAGATCTTGAGCTGACCATCATCTGCCACAGGCATTGCAAAATTGCAAATATTAATGAGAAGAACCCAAAAAAACGCAATTCCTTTATATCTCATATTCACAAACACAGACATAAATATGGACTTGGTACAAGAAAGACATACCACAGGTTGGACAATGGATCTATGTTCTTTGAGTGTCTGCAAACACAAACAGATGGATTTTTATACGATGTTATTTAAAGAGACTGTCGTAGACTCATAGAGGATAATGGGAAGGTGATACTTCAAAGTGCTCACCTCTTCAATTTGCATAGCACGACGAGCCACATCAAGGGGGAACACTGTGTCTGTTTTTGTCAAGACAATTTGATACTTGGTCTGATATCTGAAAATTGAAAAAAAATATCAGGATACAAGTTGAAGGAAATCATGTTAGTGAACGAAGGCCACCATTAGTCTGACTAGTCCAAGGCCTTTAACTTATCACTATGCTAGAAGTCTTAACTTTCAATAGCAAATCCGATGTTTTAAAATATGATTTTGAGATTAACAACAGTGTTGGTCATACTATATGCAAAGCCTTACTAATGCTAGCAAAGCTATGCAAAGATAGCATACTAGTATCACTGAACTTAAAGAGCCATGCAAATTTTGACTGAAATTGGTTAAGTTGAGATCATTTACCTTCCAAGAGGGAGAGAGACAGAGAGAGAAAGAGACATACCTTTCCATCAAATGAACAAGTTCATGATCCCTTGGTTTCATACCCCACTTGGTGTCAATTAGAAGGCACACTCTCTTTAGCCCAATTCTTGTGGAAACATACTCTTTTACCTACAATATACAAATCCGAATCACCTCAAGTTATCAAACCATACCAAATTATGTAATGAAAAACAATGCTAATGGCAGATTATAAAAGCATAACACTTTTACCTGACATAAATTACAACACTACCCTTTTCCTATCTTAACCCATAGACTCTATTTATACATGGCCAGTTGGCATTGTTCAACTCTCTCTCTCTCTCTCTCTCATATTTTTGTATTTCTTACTTTTTGTAATCACATCGGTTAGTCACCCACTTCCTCGCTGGTATAGCATGCTCTTGCAAGATAAAAAGGTAAAAGCCAAGGAGCATATTACAAAGATCACATACAGTACTAACTAGAGCATCCCAGGGAGGCATTTTGTAATAGCAATGAATTGAAACAATATTTCAGGATGAAGTTTAAATATCCTTGATTGACAAGTGAAGGAACTTGGACAAAATAATAAAAAGCAGTCACAGTGGAAACTGTAAACCTTCACAATTGCTAAAAAAATTGTCATATCCCAGTCTCCCGCTTTAGAATGCAGCTTGGTGATCCGAGTACAGCACATATTATACAAGCTCTATAATGTGATATTGGAACTTGACTAAAAATTAATGTGATCCTGGAGCTTGACACAAGAAAAATTAGCAAGTACAGTAGCATACTTACCAGATCCTCCCAAGCCTCCTTGACTTCTTCTTTTGCATAAGCAAAGCCATAACCCGGTAAATCTACTAAGTTGAGCTTTGTACCAAGATTAAAAAAGTTAATACTCTGCAGAACAAAAGCCAGCTTGACTATTAGTAGACTAAATACAAACATTACAGCATGAAGCAAAATGTCTAAAGTTGATAAAATGAAACCTGAGTATGACCCGGTTTATCGGAAGTCCGAACAACTCCCCATTGTCTGGTAAGTGAATTAAGTAGAGACGATTTCCCAACATTAGACCTGCCTAAAGAGGAGGGAGAAATACACGATATCATTTTGGTGCCTTATTCTTCTCCATTTTCCCAAAGGAAATATAATGCGTACAAGTAGTCAAGCACCATCAAGCAAAATTGAAGGTTTATGCCTAAAAAAAAAAGTGACCAAGGTGAATTGCATCTTTACAAATTTGAATATAAAATAAAGTTAAAATAAGCCAAATAGGTTACAAAATTGTCCTTTATTGCACATTGCACATGCACAAAATGGCTAGAGAATAAAAGCAGTAGCATGGGGCAACATCATCATAACTCAAGAAGTTTTCATTGTCCATGCAAACATCAATCCCAAGATTCCAACCATACTAGACAGGTAAAGAAACTTGAATATACACAGGATGAAATAAGTTACCAGCAAAAGCAATCTCAGGAAGATCAGGCGGGGGAAATGATGAAGAAACTTTTGCAGCTGCGAAAAACTCCATCTTATTCCTGAATACCTGAAATAAAAAAGTCAGAACAGTGGAATGAAGGCAAACATAATGATAGTCTGATGGCTAATAGGATCCATTATGGGTTTTTCACTTTTTTTTTTTTTTTTTTTTTTTTTTTTTTTTTTTGAGAACTTGTGGGTTTTTCACTTGATTTAATGCTGATAAGTAAAAAAAAAAAAAAAGCCAATTGCAAGGCTTAGAAAGTTCATTTTTATCATCAATAAGATATATTGCAAACAAAATTTATCATATTGCTAGACTTGCTCCAATGCTATAGCTAACAGGCTAGAGTAACATCTACAACCATTACTAAATAAAGATCGAAACAAGCAAAGTTTTCCATACATATTCAGCAGCAACAAATGACCTCAATAATGGGAAAAGGATTTAAGGCAAAAATGCAACTCCCAGTAAGTGAACATACACTTTCTTCAATTCTTTCTCTATCCGTGCTTGTGGAGAAGGGTATGTTATCCAATGGCGCTGAGAGTTCAGTGTTATAGCCAACCCTTCGCAGCTCAATATCACGTCTTCGACCCAATAGCTAAACAGATTTACAAAACAATAACCCACAAGAAAATCAATCAAAGTAACAAAACTAACAATCAATAATCTAAACCCCCAAAAAATTTAAGCAAAATTAGCGAAGGAAGTTACATTGTCCTCAACAAATGTAAGGATTGAAGGACTAGGTTTAATTGCCCTGAATTGTGCATTCATTGACAATTCCACTTTGTCAACCTCTTCTTTTTTCTCTTCCTTCTTCTTCTGTTGATTGGTTATCTCTAAAATTCACAGACAATCTAATTCAGCTAAAATAATGGATATAAATTGAACTTATACAAACAAAATTGGACCACAAATAACAACAATTTTCCTTACCATTAAGCACATTTCCATCATCAAGCCGCTTATTCGAAAAGTCGTAACAATCAATCTTGATCACTCTCTTCTTCTTCTTTGGTTTAGCTTCCACTGAATCATCCTCAGAATTTTTCTTCCCAAATTTCTTCCTCTCGGTTCTCAAAATTGAAACATTTGATGAATTCTCCTCAAATTTATTCCTATTATCCCCAAATTTGTTCTTACCAGACTCCGAAGAAGAAAACTTTAATGGGTTTTTTCTGATATACTTGTTATCATCATTATTGGGTTGCTTATCAAAATTATTCCCCAAATTTTTGCTGCTTTTGCCTGAAAAATCCTCAAATTTCTTCTTTTTTTCTCCAAATTTCTTCTTGCTGGATTCCAAAGATGATACCTTTAATGGGTTTGATCGAATATGAGTCTTCTCTTTTGTAAATTTTTTGCTGAAACCTTTTTTACCCTTTTCTTGTTTATCAAATTCACCATTGTTGTCTCCATTTTTACTGCTTCTGCCTTTGAATTTAAGGCTGATTTTGGATGATTTTGCGAATTCCTTTGCCATTTTCTTTCTATCTCTTGATTATTATTGTGGTATGCACTTTGCAAAATGGTGAAAGTTTGAGCGTTTTGGGTTTGTAAAATCCCAACTTCCTACATTACCAAGTACCAGGTTCAGGGGTTTAGGGTTCTCTACAGTACGTTTTAGTGTTCTCTCTTCGAACTGGCCACGTGATTCCCACGTGCTAATATGAGATGCGACTATAAGACGGAATTTGATCCCGTGTCTTGAGTAGTGATACTACCCCTTCAAAATTTTAACCAATTAATCTAGTAGCTTATGGCTTGTTTGGCACTTATTTTAATTTTCTTTTTTAAACAAAAAAATGGAAACAAGAAAAAGGTATTTCCACTTTTCTATTGTCAGTTTTCAAAATTATCATGATATTAGTAAGTTTGACTAATTTTTTTATTCATTATATGACATATATCTTGTGATTTTGAAAAACAAAAAACTAAAAGCCAGAAAACCGCAGCGAAACCAAACGAACCCTTAGTTAAAAATCCGTTTTTTTTTCTTTTTCTTTTTCTTTGTTATGTCAAATTTGCTCTTTATTGATTTTAACCTAATCGACTTGTGTATCATCTATTTTAGCATCTAAATGAGAATTATATGGGTGTTTTTCCAACACAAATCATCTTTAAAATGTTGCTATTCCTCTAACATGCTGTAGATCAATTGGACTTGAACATATTTTTATATGTTTGGATTGGCTTAAATGATTGCTTTGATTTTTACTATTTATTGGCATGCTTTAATATTTCACTGAAAAAATATTACACATATCGTCATTTCATGGGGTTGAACGTCGTAACAATCCGAATGTAAAAGTTACCGATCCAAAAATGACAATAATTAGCAAGGGCAATGTAATTTTTATCTAGCAGCGGGGAGATATTTAAATTTTTGTTCTTGCAACATGACCAAACGATTATTAGTAATTGGTCTTACTTATTATGTTGTTACGTCCCATCAACAAACATTTTATAATTAGTAATGAACATTAAATATGATGAAAACTACGGAGTACAATAATTAGAATTATCTGATCTTAATTGTTTTGTTATACTTTAAATACTTCGTATAAACTCCTTCCTTCAATAAAAATTTTCCAATTTCAAATCTTAAATTTTGTGCCTTCAACATGACCAAACGATTATTAGCTATACATGTTATGTTGTTATGTCCCATCAACAAACATTTAATTAATATAATTAGCAATGTACATTAAATACAATGAAAATGAAAACTAAGTTAGATTTGTCTTATATTAATTATTTAAATAAACTTTAAACTCTCTATAAATATCTAGTCTTTAATTTAAAAGTTTTTCATGTTTAAAGTCTTGTAATTATTCACATTTTGAGAGAATTTTTAAAATTATAGTATATTTTCAGTGAATAAGGAAAAGAAACATATTCAATAAAGTCTTGTTGACTTGTTTCAATGAGATTAGTACGTCTTTAGAGGTTTCAATGGTCATAGATATGCATCGACAAAACATGCACAATTAAAACACGATGAACTGTTAAAGTTATAGACGAGTACCCGGGGTTGTTATAATAAAGACAGATACTTAACAAAAATGTTAAGACATATTAGAAGCAAAGCACTCTTATCAATTACTTTGATAAATATTTATCACTCTCTTTACAAAGCCATACATATATAAATTATCAAGACAAACTATGTTTGTGTGTTGTGTTTATGTATCATCAGCCTGCAACAGCAATATGAGCAGGATTTGGCCTCTTTTTGCGATCACCACAACTTAAACTTCTAACTAAACTTGGTAAACAATGCTTAACAGATTTACCCCCAGATTTTTTATCTTTCTCCATCTTATTATTAGGAGTACTTTTACTTGAAGTTGTTGGTGTCTCTTTTCCTTCTTCACTTGCTGCTTGTGCCTTTGCACTTGTTAGGCTGTCCCTGCTGAAGCTGCTGTCCTTGAATAGCTCGGACAGCCTTCTTCCTTGGTGTTGATCTTCGTTCTTGTTTGTTAGCTTATACGGAGGCGTATCTGAACATCACAAGGTGTTAGATGCACAATGCCACATTGATAGAGGCACACACACCCAAGTGCGTGCATAAGTGCATAGCACACCCGAGTATATGATAGTGTCATATAGGCGATAAATAATATATACATGTACTTGTCATACTGTCTATGTATTTATGTGCATTTAATTAAGTTGTCACATATTAGATCCATTGGACAAAGTAAAGAAATTAGCTACCTTCAATACCCTCCTACTTTATTATAGGGTGTTCTATTCATTTAACATTTCACATATATTTTGTATCAATTACTGGTATTAATAATTCTTATCTGAAATTATGTAACCGTATCTTAAAAATAAATAGAGATAAGGTGGATATAACCACGAGCCCACCTTAGTGTGGCTCAACCTTATTCATCAATGTGTTGAATTTATAGTACTTTGACTTGTAGTTGCAAGGTGGGCCTCTAAAATAAATGGAGAAAGGGCTGCCAAATTGTTCATTCATACTCCCTTTTTGTAGGAACAACCATTGCGTCATCCGGTATCAACTCGAGCTTATGAAACATCATCCATGATTCCAAATCAATTATAGACTAGTATTCCGTATAAAACTAGTAATTCCTAATTATTTTACCTACTACCGAACTGATTATACTTCCTCCTTACTAACTGCAATATGAAAACCTTTATAATTGTCAATGTTATAATTTTGAATATTAATCATTCGGTAACAATGATTATAAAAAATTTGATATTTTGAAAACTTACCTTTTTTTAGAAATTTTTTAAAATTTACCTAAAAAGTTTAATTTTACTCCAAAAATCTTTTAACTTTTACTCTGTATATCCGTATATATTTACAGTACTCCGTAGTAAAGAAGTTCCCAAGTAATAATTAACCGGAATCACAAAATTCGTACTGATTCAAATCTCTGTGCTTTCCCTGTGTCTTCAGGAATATATGCAAAGATATACAGTACAGTAACGAATCATGAGAATATAAGATTAACCTCCCCTCTATCCCCTTAAATATCACATGAATTAAATTAATAATTAATTGATAATACATACCAGTATAAAAGTGTATGGACAAAAAAAAAATATATATATATATTTAACTAAGTTAAATACAATCTTGCAATACTTACCACTATTGATACTGAAGAAATCTTGTTCATCATCTGAATCTAGCCAAGGCTTTGAATCATAAAAGGTCTCCTCTTTACTACCTGCAACATTTATAATTATGCAGTATAATTAACCTCACTAATCATGATCATCAATTATTAAAGCTAGCTAATTCTTATATTTATAAGGTCAAGTCCTATAAATTTCCATACTTCCTAAAATCCAACAAATTTAAACTTATAGACTACGTATAACTTTATCTATGTTAAATTTAAATATTGCTAGGGCTAATCTCAAAAAATTGCAAACTGAGATCATAACAACAAAATATTATAAACTAGAGAATGCAAAATTCAACAACATCCAAAATTCTAAGCATTAAACCCAATGATGGGTCGGCTACATGAAATAAGATTTTAGCGTCACTGATTATATTCAACTATGTAATTGAGAAGTTAGAGAAGTAAATTACCAGCAGGTTCCCAAACAGGGGATTGAACAGAATTGAGTGCTTTTTCCAAGGTAAAATTAGAAGGAGATTCAGTAGTTTTGGTAGAAACACATGAACTCATCCCCAAATACAAGAACACCCTCTTCATATTTTTCATAATTTTTCTTCAAAATAAGAGATTAAGAAAGAAAAAAATAAGAGTAAAGTTTAGAAATCTAATTAAAAACAGAATAAAACAAGACAAAAACACCCAAAAAATACTTTTTTTTTTTAAGAAAAAAATAAAAATCTGAAAACTGAAAATTTGTTTGTTTTAGGGGGTATTTGGGTGGTTGGTTTCAACTTTAGAGCAAGGAGAAAGAAAAAGAAAGGGGACAAATAATTAAGGGTAGCTTTATGCTAAAGATGGGAATAGTGGGCTTCCACTTGAAAGGTAAGGAACACAGCATTACTACAGTACAGCATAGTTTTTGGGGAGAAATAAAGAAGAAATTAGTCTTGAAAGTGAAGTTAATTTGTTTGATAATAGTTTCCATAATCACAGCAAATGTGCAAAAATGGGTCCATTTTGAATAGCGTATAATATCCTAAAGTTGGTCACTTATTTATGGGGAAGTATAAATCAAGTTGGTCTACTTATTTAAGAAGTATAAATGTGTGACACTTACTACTAACTAGATTTGAAGATCTTCTTCTCTTGTCTCTTTTGAGTAGTATTAAAAAAACATGATCAACCTCTAATCTTACCAAATACAAGTACTAATAATACGAAAAAATGCTCATGAGGAAAAATATTGATAAACATCTACCATATACATGATCATTTAGCGAGTATAAAGCGAGTAGGGCGAAATTGGTGAGTAATAGAATATGATCTTAGCAAGCTCAAGAGTCCTGCTTTTATTTTTATTCAAGATTATGGTGACAAAAATAATTTTGCTTGTAGCTAACAATGTGCAAAACAGAGAGATCATAGTAAGTTTGTAGTAATGTGTAAAACAAAATTTATAACATGTACAAAAAAAAAAAAAAATATCAAACGATTATTGATTTAACAGGTTACCGGTAATTTATCTTGTTTAAAGAAAATGTATATCAAAGTTCGTATTTATCAGTATAATTCAAAGTTTATACTCGTACTATTCTTGTAAAATTTTCCATAATGTTATTGTTAGTTGGGGCAAAACGATGAAAATAGGGACTTTTAGCTTGTTCTTTTGCATATGACCGTAAAGAAAATTATAAATATGGTCATCAATAGCTTTTCTTGAAGAAGTCTTATTACTTGACGAGAATAATTGCATTGAAATGCCGTCATCCAAGGGAGACCAATCTGTGCTGCGTAGTTCAACTTGGAGATTTGGGAAAGAAGTTGCCATTATTACGTTCAATAGTGCAGCATCGCGGCTACTTAAATCAGACGTGCATGACAGTAGTATGAATTATACAAAACGAACTGCATAAATAGAAACAGAAACACAAAAATAAGTGTTCGTTGCTCATGCTTTCATTGTAAGGATTATTGCGAATACAAGAAAGAAATGACAAGCAAGTTTGACTTAAAGGCTTAGACGAAACTTTAAAAAAAAAATTAAAAAAAAAAATTAAAAAAAAAAAAAAAAAACCACATGACACAATAGGTAAAGTATATGACTACACTTTTACAGCAGATTTTAGATTATCCTATTTTACTTGGAATAACGGATTATCTTAAACTACTAATGACCATATATTATTTATTTATTGCTTTAAAAAAAATATATATATATATATATATTATTTATTTATTTATTTATTTTAAATTTAAAGAGCCACAAATCAATCCCAAGAACTAATGACCTCATTTTGTAGAATAAGATACATTACAATTTTCAAATAATGCAATTATATCTCCTAACATATGTGTTTTTACTCATAAAATTCATACAATCCTTGTTCAAATAGACTCATCATATACCATGCATCTTATAATATGCAAGTATTCTACCTTGTCTAAATAAACACGTACAATTCTGGTTCAAATACATTTTATATGAAATGTATTAATTACATATATAGATTAAAAAAAAAAATCGCGCATGATAAAATCAATGCTTCTAATGGATGTTGAAATTATTTACCTAAAAAAACCTCCATTGAAATTCAAGAAAAATAAAAGGAAGAAACAAAAGACTGTGATGAGTAATGTTAAGTATAGAGTACCAACCTTATGCTCATCAGGCCGGGTTTTATCAGATAATTTGATATTGTATAAGATAGAGCACAACGCACAATCAATGAATTAATAATCAAACATATATTACATTTTCTTTTGTATTAATTGAATTTAAATCAAATAAACTTAGCTAATTCTACAATTTCCTAAAACAAAAAAATAAGTTGAAGCCAATGACGTTTTTGTAGGGTCCAAAATCATTCGTGCTCCTCTCACTCCTGAACAAGCATACAGTTCACTAGTGCCTCTCCAATTCCTATGATCGACAAAATTACTCTCAGCTCTAAACTTCAAGTCAACTCTCTCTCACCTTCAACCTTCATCCTCCATTAATGGAGTCTATCATCTCCAGATAACTTCATCTCCTAATTCTCAGAATTTCAGATTAATCCACCAATATTTTTTAGGGCGTAAAATGACAGGAAATAGTAGAAAAAATGCTCGAAATCGACCTAAACCTTCAATCAATGTTGATGAAGATCATCATCCGATCAACACCGATAAGAAATCAAAGCTTAGGAGAGAGAAAATCAAGCCTCGCAGCATTTCCAAATTACAATTATTGCTCGGTTTCTTCGCAATTTTCGTCTTCGCAATTTCGACGTATTTTGTTTACGCTTATGTCGTGAATTCTACTGATTATGGAAGTCGGAAACCTAGGGTTATCACTCCATTTCCTGCTCCTAAACTCATGGATCTTCCTCAGGTTAGTTTCATTATAATGGAAGATGATATTCAATGGAAAGTTTTAGTTAAAATAAACATTAATTACACCATTCGACGTATGATTTTGTCGTGCATTCATAAAATTAAAGCATAATGTATCGAATACTTGTATGCAATTATGCGTTTAATTTTTCTAAGTTTATGTTTATTATTAATTGAAATTTGAGGATATGAATTTGTTTTGTTGATTATAGTTTCAAGGCGAACACAAGGAAAGTTTGTATTGGGGAACTTACCGGCCTCATGTTTATCTTGGCATTCGAGCAAGGTTAGTTAGTACTGGTATGATTTATACTCTTTGTTTAGTTATCCGCTTCTAATATCGACTATCCGCTAATTGCCTAACAGAGCCAATGTATGATTTGTTAGCCAAGGTTAGTTAGTACTGGTATGATTTATACTCTTTGTTTAGTAATCCGCTAATACTATCGACTATCCGCTAAATCCCAAACAGAACCAATGTATGATTTGTTAGCCTTATACTCTAATACTCTTATCATATTGAATATTGATATGACAAAAGTGTGTCAATAGCTTGTACGGAGTAATGTATACTTCATGTTAATGGAATAGTATGTGAATTTACATTATCAACGCAATTTTAGTTTAGTTTTGTCGGACATTTGAATTTGTAGAAATGCCTTATATTTTGAAACTCAATGAATACTTGCGAATTATGACTATACGAGTAGTATTTATTAAGACGATGGATTATTGTTCATATGATTATTGATAGTCATAATTGTGATGGATGAATTGATTAGAGCTTTGAAGGATTAAATTGTTAGGTTGAATAAGTTTTCATCAACTTATCAATGAAGTCTCGGGATTCTTGGCTAAGTAATTACTAGCTAGGACAAACTTTGGTTTATTAGATACTAAGTTCAAATGGCTCATTCCCTGTTTTATGCTTATTTTTGTTTTTTTTTTTTGGTATGTGTTTTAGCTAGGACTACTTGTCCTTTCTGTTGGATTGGTCATTTGACGTATTATTAAAATTTTACTTGAATGTTAAGTTTTGATTTTGCATGTGAAATTGTGAGTGATAATAACTGGTTGTTAATGGCAGGACTCCGCAGTCACTGATTGCGGGATTAATGTGGATTGGTGTCAAGGATGGACAGTATGTCATGCGGCATGTCTGCCAAGATTCCGATAACCTTAACACTTATGGTTGGACTCATCACAATGGGCGAGATTATGGAAGGCAGCTGATAGTTGATCAGGGGCTAACCTTGGAGACCAGTTTCTTAAAATTGAGAGAAAAAGGCAATGGTTATGGAGGGGATTGGGCTGTTCGAATTGATTTGCAGAGCAAGAAGTAAATGTTCTCATCTGGTTATGGCTGCTTGCTTAAGAAGTATGCTAATTTAGCTTTGCTATTAAAGTATGTTGGATTGGTTTGCAAAATTGAGTTGAAATAGCTAATTGATCTGACCCAGATAAATTTTTATCTACTCAACTTGTATGAATCTATTGATGGTAAGCTGGCAACCAATTATTTTGGTTCAAACTTCAAAGACCTGATCCGATGTGTAGTTGATGTAAACAAAAAAAAAAAAAAAAATGAAAATTTAAATAAATAAATAAATAAAATTATCTAGACTAGAAAATTTGGCAAATGTGTTTCTCTGCAAATCTTAATCTTATGGTATTTTTTGGCTGCATATGTATTGGTTGAGAGGTGAGAAAAAATATTGATATTGCACAATGTTTCATTTGAGTTGAGGAAATGTCTGGGAAAGTCAGAAAGATACTGATTTCTTTCATCCTAACACGGATAGGAAATAATCCCCTGTCTATGCTTCCCGAGTTCTTGTCCTGTAGTTATTGTTTGAATCCCTTGATACTTAACAAACTTTTTTTTTTTTTTTTTTTTGTTCTAATATTTTTTTTTATGTTTCTTTAGTCTTTACAGTTTCAGTATTTTCTTTATTTGCAAGTGTAGTTTGTGAATCATATAATTCTTTGCCAGTTCCAATTGTGAGTGTGTTCTGTACATGACTTTTTAACAAGGGTCGCCTATTCTAAAGAATTTAATTTCTTTGCATCTAATCCATGACTTGTATTATTCACATTCATATTTGGGACACAGGTCGGGCTCAGATGAGGACAGTTGGGGAACTGGTCATTTTTTCTTCTATATGGCTGATGAAGGTGGACATGCCATCAGCATGAGTAGAGATGTTTTAGATGTTCGTGAAAGCTCATTACTGGCATCAGGATCACGAAGTGACGTTGGAGGCTGGCAGTTGCATCTAGAATCAGCTGTATGTTATCATATGGTTTAGATTATGTTTGGATATGCTACTTTTTTTATTTCCTTTTTGGTTTAGCCTGTTGTGACTTTATTCTATGCATGCATTATAGTTTCCATTCTGTATTACTATTACTATTCCGTGCTTCACATGGCTAGTTTTCTGATACTCTTATGCTAAAAAGCAGGATATGGACCTTTTTCATACCTGAAATTCTTCTTTATGCATTGGTTTTTGAATGGATTTTCCAACCTTTACTATATTTGGCAGTTGTTAGAAGATCTCTCAAGCTTAAACCATGCGGCTCTTAATTTTCCGTGGCAACATTCTTGTGTTGTTATTTCATGATCCTTACCTCCTGCTTGTTTGATGTACTTTATATTTGGTCATTAAAGGTCTTATCAGCTTCATGAAATTGTTGATTGATGCTTTTGAAAACTATCTGGTTACTTAGCCATTTACATATTTTCATCCTTTTTGTGTTGCTTTCTAAATGATGTTTTCTCTCTCTACAAAAATTTGTCTCTGAAGTAGTGCTCATCTTTTGTCCTTATGTCAGGACAATCCGGAAATTCATTATTCTGGTTTCAAGACACCACACATACACAACCTGTCTGATCTTGTCCTAGTAACTCTGGCACATCAGGTATGTAATAGGCTTTTCATTGCTCTAAATTATTAATGTGGTGAAATTTGCTTAATCACAGTGGTAGAGTGAATGTTAAGCTGTGAAATTAGTATTGTACATGATTTGTGTTTAGTTAGATGCTGCCTTTAGCTATGAGCTACTTTGTATAGAACTTAGTTTGCTGCTTCTGTGGCCAAGGGATGGTATCCTTCAGTTTTGTAGCATGTAGGTCTTTGAACTCTATTTTAGCACATTGCAAACCTTAAGCACCCACTGAACCACTATGAGGATATCACTTTGCTTGGGCCTTTGATGGTACTGCTTTAGCATCCTCATTTCTTCCCTCAGATGACTGAAGGAAATAGTTATTCATGAAGAGTCAAAGATCTAACATTGTTTCTCACTTGCTATTATCCGAAGAAAAGATGACCGTTGCTTTTGCCTTTATCTTGTAGATCAGAAGGTTTGGCTATCTGCAGCTTCCCGACAATCCAGGTCATTCTCCTAATATTCTCGTGTTTCAGGTAATTTTATGGAATGTGTTGATGTAATATGTTGTGGGAAGTTATATGTTGATTATTTACTGAACTGTGATATAGATTGTTCTGTCAGAAAAAGAATTGCCTGGTTTTTGTTTACTTTAATTTATTTTATTTTTGCAGATTTCTGCAGTGGTTCCTTTCAAAGCAGACTTTGCTTTTGTGTCAGGAACTGACATGAAAACTTCAGGGATAGATGAGCGCATTAGTAGCCTTACAGGTATTTTCTTTATAATTTATAATCTTCTTGCTTCTCTTTTATGCCAACTATTGAATGCTACCACCTACTGATCACACAATTTTCTTTCGACGTATATTGTGAAATGTGAATTAGTGAGTCTTGGTATTTGTTAATGTAGTATCAAAGAAGAAATTATGCATGTTGGATTCTTTTTTAATATATCAAAGGGAAGGTTCTATCTGGTAGCATGATCACTCCATATTACCTATAGGTTTGATATATAAGGCCATGCTTTCGACTTTTGTCTAACTTTGCCACTTATTTGTTATAATCCTTCCTCCAATTAGTGCTGTATTGTTTTTGAGTTTTGAGCTAAGGAGGATCTATATAATGACTAAAGCTTTTCTTATATGATAAATATTGGAAAGATAAATTTCACTTTGTATGAAAAATGTTGTGCGAAGAACACAATTAATTCATTTATTGATGGCAAGGATTATAGAGAAAAGTGGTCAAAGGTTTGTATTGAGTCTTTTTTAATGACATTTTATTGGAATTGTAGAATAACAGTAAAGTTGTTGAAAAATAATTCCTAAGAATTCTAATCAATATCTATAAAGGGACTGAAGGCTTATTCAACACTACTTTTGAAATTAAAGAATCTTGTTGAGATTTTTTTTTTTTTTTAAGCAATACTTTCCATAAGTTATATTTGCACCGTCATGTATACTGATGTATATTTATAGAAGATTTATGGTGATATTCACAAAAGAAATGAAATTAAAATGGTATCTAGGGTGTCCTCAAAAAAAAAAAAAAGGTATCTAGGGCCCCTTTCTTTTTTTTTTTTTTTTTTTTTTTCGTTTTTCGCAGAATGTGGTGTTAAATCAAAAATAAATAAATAACACTTCATATTTTTTCATGAATTCAAAAGTTCCAATTAATATATGTGTTTGTTGAATGTTTGAGGGTTTTAAAAATTGGACGAGTGTTGGATTGACTGCTACGAGAGAAGTGTATTCTACTTATGATATTATTAGTCTTACAAAGTTGCTTATATAATCTGGCAAGTACTGAGGATAAAAGATATGAATTTTCAGGAGAAAACTTGAGCAAACAACTAGTGAAGAAGAAGAATGAATATGATGATAAATTTCAAAGATGCTTCAATTTGAGTGAGAAGGTATCATCACAGTCATTTCTTCTCCTCTTGTTCACTATTTTGAAGTTGGAGTTTTTTCAAAGTATCCTATCATACTTGTCTGCAATATTGCTTGAGCTTTACATTATATCTCCTCTTGCTAGATACAGCTATGCTTATAGTTTCATAAGAGATACATACTTCTCTCTAGAAATATGACCTGAAAACTGAGCTTTGATCTTGATTGAGCCTTGTATACTTTTGGACAGATAATGATCAATCTAATGTTGATCCTTGTTCATGAAATTGAGGAAGATTCTCACTCATATGGTCTTCAGAGTTTGTTCAGATCTGATACAGAATTCTGGATACATTATCCAGTAAAAAATAACATATTGGTTTTACAACAGATCACAGAATTAGGGATGCAGAAATGGAAGACTTCTCTCTCTCTCTCTGTGAAAAATTTAAATTATTTTTCTTCCCTCATGGTCTCCAATCTTACATTCCATATTAATCCTATCCTTTCACATCCTTTACTTCATAGTAAACTGTTAAGCACTCTACCACTATCTCACTAGTTAAATTTTCCCACAAACCCCACTTCTATGATATTTTAGCCCCCCTATATACTTCTTAAAATCTGCGTGGAAGTAGTATGTCACTAAAAAAATAAATAAATAAATGAAGGGACTAATAGAAATACCAAGCACAAGTATCAGGGTTAAATTAGAGTTGGCTATTTGCAAAACACATTTTATGTATGTTAAAAGATTAGCTACTTAGGATTCTCATACCTTAGTATGTATTGAGAACATTGGTTAAAACTATGATATTGTTGAATTCAAATCTAATGTCATACATATTGAAACTTGAAGTCTGCCCACTTTTAGGCTAATATCTTTTTCAAAAGTCTGATCTGTAATGCATGAAAAAAAAAAATCAGATGTGGAAGGTGAACAGAATAAACTCAGGGATTAAGTCTCCAAATCTCTATGATTTCAAATGTTAATTTTTTTGAATGTAAATAAACTAGAAAGATGTCCAAAAGGTGGCGATAAGCAATGGGCAAGTTGAATCCATGTTTTGTTCTCTATTAATAACATTAAAAATTTCTTAAGCTTTTTATTTATTTATTTATTTATTTATTTATTTATTTATTTTCCCGTTTGTTCAGGTTGATTCAGAAGTTATTGTTGTTGGTAAAGCCACAATTGCAAATTTGATCGGTGGCATTGGTTACTTTTACGGGCAATCAAAAATTTCCGTGCCTCAGAATACTGATGTAAGTTAGCTGTCAACACCGTACCTTTGCTTATGGTACGTTTGTTCTTTAAATGTTAAGGATTAGGCAAAAATTCTAGTTCTGAATGTCTTGGGATAGAGATCATGCTATTAAGAGGCCGTTGAAGTTAGGAGATGCTATACTACATGTATCACTACTGGGGACAATGATCATGTAGTTACAATTCCGTTCATATTCAATTTGTTAGAGATAAGGAATATATGCATCTAAGGATGGACTTTAATGCTTGTTGGAATACCTTGGATCATGTACTTTACTATTGCTGTTATGCTTTGGACGTTTTGAAGTTTCCGTGTTCTTAGTGAGAACAAATAACACGTGGTGTAGAGAAAGTGTTTTTGTGGTTTAATATTGTATTGCTGTGCATATTGCTTATATTTATCATTTCATTTATTTTAGTAAAATAGGATTAAAGTAATTTGATATTTCTGCTTTCCTGCCAAAAATGTTTATCTGAAATTTACATACTCACAGTGTTGGGACTTGGAAGTCACAGTTGATGAGGTGGACAATATTAATGAGATAAATGGGTAACTGCATGTTCAGTACTAGGTTATATGCACTATAAAGACACAACAGATAAATTGTCAACTCTCTAATTCCTATTTCCTCTTGACAGATGAGAGAGGTAGACCTCATACAATGTGAAACTGAGGCATGCAGTATATCAGATTAATTATTAATACCACTAACTACACAAATTGACAAATCGGAACAGTATTCACTTTGACATTGGAAGTATGATTCTGTGTGTGTGTGAAATATTCAGAACCTGTATATTGGCTATGAGCAAGCTCATGATGTCGGTGATAAAGACAGCATATATTAACATCATAGAGATCAGGTTTAGTAAAAGACTAGTTGTCAGCAGCAAACAATTTTTCATGTAGTTCTCTGAGAATTTATACATGAATCCTTGTGAGGTTGGGTAGATTTAAATGCAAATTACCTTTTCCTTTACTAGTTAAAGTCTATTGAAAAGATTGTTTCTGAAAGACGTGGAAGAAGAGGGGGGGGGGGGAGTAAAACTCCTTGTCATTTCTCATTTTATCCTGACATTAATGATTCTGTAGAAACCATATATATATATATATATATATATATATACAAGATTCCACCTCAATAACGTACTCCATAGTCCATACCCAGCAACTTTAACTTTCTTATAGTTGCTAAATTTTTTAATAAGCTTGAATCTTATGAAAGCTTGTAAATGATTCACCACTTTCACCTTTAGTAGTCAAATGGTTTCCCTTTCATACTAATTTGATTAAAGTTCATTATAGGAGTTTTCTAGGTTCTCAATATGTCTTAGCTAGTTCCTTTAAACTATGTCGATTGCTTATCGTTGAACGTGCTTATCATTATAGCCATTCTCCTGTCTTGATTCTGTGGTTTCTGAATGCTTACATACATTGCTTACTGGCAAAAATGCTATCAGTGTAAGTCATCTTTTCTTGGGTCATGCCAATGATTTCCAATGTAGTCATGCATACCATCTTTCTTCTTGCAGATAAAGGGTGATGGTTATTTGTTGTACTGGCCAGCAGAGCTCTACACAGCTGTTCCTAGTCGCGGAGTCTTCCCACGGGGATTTTTGTGGGATGAAGGTTTTCATCAGTTACTGATTTGGTAAGACATATGCTGCCTTTTGGGTCTCTACGAATTCAAAGTTTAATCCAATTGTCGCTGTGAATTATGTGACAGTGCTACTCTATTTGTTCATTGATCTGTGTATGATAATAGGCGTTGGGATGTCCGCATTTGCTTGGACAACATTGGCCACTGGTTAGATCTATTGAATATTGATGGTTGGATTCCTCGTGAAATGATTTTGGGTGCTGAAGCTTTAAGGTGACTGAAACATTTTGTTTAGCTACTGTCTTTATCGTTTTCATGAAATTTGTTATTCAACTTGGCCTTTTTCTGCAGCAAAGTCCCTGAAGAATTTGTTCTCCAGCACCCAACTAATGGCAATCCCCCTACATTATTTCTGGCTTTACATGGTACTTTTCTCTGTTGAATCAGCTTATATTTTTAACTACTTAAATGATTTTTGCTTGTTGTGGTCAGTGCATTTCACAACTTTGTTTGCTGAGTTGAAATGATTGGTCATGTCGCTGATCCTATCCTATTGAGATTGAGGGTTTGACATTGTTGTTGATTTCTAAGCTGTTAGATATTACTGCTATTATGTTGCCTATGAACATTGTAAGGTGTTTTGTGCTATGAAGATGTTATGCTACTGTGACAATAAGACTAATTAGCTAAATTTTCAGGCTACAGGTTTTATAGAGTATAATAGTCTAATTCCACAGTTCACAAGTACATCACTAAAAAACTTTGGTATAAGTTTGTATAAATGTAATTATGGATGAATCTTGGCAAGCATAATGCTTGAGTTTGTTATGCGGCTTACAACATTGCCATCAATAAATCTAGTAGATCTTGGGATTTCATGTGATCCTTAAATCTCATTGGTTAATGCTCCATCACTAAAATTTCTTCCAGCTTGTATAATAGAATAAAAGAAGGAAGAGAAATTTATGTAAGCGATAGTAGATTGTAATATTGCTGCTAGAAAATCACCATTCCGATACCCAGATCTTCAAGTGACTGGAGTACTCTTAAAAAATAAACAGAGTCCCTTTTGTGGATGCTTTTCGATTTCTCCTCCCTCCTTTATTCCCTTACTCATTACACTGTTCTCTCTCTGTAACTAGCTTTCTAAAATCTAGATCCTTTGGGTTCCTCTTCTTCTTGCTCAATGCAACGCATAACAGATTCTCAAGTAAAATGAAGTGTACTTTCCATCTAGCCTTTCTCCTGGCTTATTGCGTTGGGTATTTGGATATGAGGCTTGGAATGGGTGGCCTGATCCATCACAGCCTGCCAAATTGTTCCTCTTGCTTGTGTGCTTTTTTCAAATGCACAACATTTATACTGTACACAGTAAGTTTTGGAGTTCTCTAACTGTCTTTTGCTAGAGTTGACTGAGGTTTTTTCATGTGGTAATCATTTGTTGATGAATTCTTCTATCTGAACTGTTAATTATCATTAATATTCTATGAAAGACTATATATGATATTCGTAAGCTCAAAGAACTTTAAAGTATGTCACAGATTGCAGCCATGGTTTTGTAAGAAACAATAAAGGATGCTGTTAAGCTGCACTTGTGGTAGTTAATTGAAGTATCTTACTTATTCATGCGTCCCACTTTCTGAATCTATATGATGCTTCTATCAGATCTGGTCTTTGGCATTAAGATGGGCAAATTCAGTGCAGCTGAAAGCAGTGAGATCTCTTCCTTTTTAGAGCATGCATATATTCGTCTTGATGCATGGTTTAAGTGGTTCAATACATCACAATCAGGTACGTTTCCTTTCTCACCGTCACCCCCCCCCCCCCAAAAAAAAAAAAAAAAAAAACCTCCAAGGAGGGGAACTTGCTGGCATTTAAAAAGAAAACTAGATGTCTATGCTTATTCATGTGACTATGTGATTTGTTGCATACGTATGTATGTGGTGTTTGACATTTAGGCCCCATTCACTTCTCCTTATTTTTGCTGAATTGAAATTATTTTTACTAATTGTCTAGTATATTTCTTCTTTGAAGTTACTGATTGTTGAACTAAAATTATTTTCACTGAACTAAATTATTTTATTGAACTGAAATTATGTTTAGTGAATATTAATTTTTTAAGGTGAGGTGAACAGGGTCTTAGTGGGTTATGAAAGTCAAAGTTAACAGTGATGGGAATGTCAATGATCAAATTGTTCTTGCCAGTAATCTTTACTGAAATTTGCTAAATGTTGCCGTTCCAATTAACAATACGTAATTGATGGGTTTGCATTTCACTGTCTTAGTACTTTAGGAGCAATTGAAGATATTTTTCTTCTTGTATCATGGGGAAATTCAACTGTATTTACTTGATGCTTGTATGTTATCTGTCATATTCTTCAACTCTTTATACTGGATCACTGGTCGACTGGGGTTATACTTAAGATTTTGACTCTTACATAATTGGGTAGCTGATAGGGGTTTTTTTTTTTTTTGGATGTACTCCATCCTTTACGTGAGTATTGGGTTTGCATAGTGCTGATCTTGGGGGCTGAAGAATGATATTTAGAAGAAAATGTTTTTAAATATGCCTTGATCATATATTGAAATTAGGAACATGTATGTCATGAAAGGTAGTGTAAGGCAGGAACATTTGAAAATAACTCCCCGTAGAAAATCACTCAAGAATCTCCCAAAGTTATACTATTTAATAATGTGTTCCTAAACAAGCTTACATGCCACATCATACTATTGTACAAGAGTTGAATCCACAACCTGAAGTTATTCCTGTATTACATGTTATCTTTTGAATCATGGCATTACTGAGATAATTTGGGGCATTGCTTAGTCTCATAAACTAGTTGGTGTATAAAAAAAAAAAAAAAAAAAAAAAAAAGCTTCTACCCTGGTGAACATGTTTGAAGGTGTAATAAACTTTAGCTTTACAATGTGTTTGGATAAAGAAAGGGGAAGGAAAAGAAGGGGAGGGAGGAGAAGAGGAGGGGAGGGAAAGGAAGGGGAGGGAAGAATGGTGAGTTTTCCTTCCAAATCTCTCCATTGTTGGAGGGATCAACTTCCTACAATTTAATCCTTCCATTTCTCTCCCCTCCAATTCCCTTCCTTCCTCATTTGTTATCCAAATGAAAGATACCCCATATCTCCATTTCCCTTCCCTTCCCTTCCTTTCCCTCCATTTCATTCAATCCAAACATACCGTTAATGAATCAAGTACCTTCAGAGTAGTGGTGGAGAGAAGATACCCCTTATCTCCATGTCTTTTTCTGACATACATATTCTTTTTCTTTTTTTTTATTTTTCCTTCTTGTGGATGCTCTTTGTTTGCAATGCAATACATATTATGTTTTTTTTATAAACCTTCTCATCCAATCTAACTTAAGCATTTCTACAGTTCTGCATGCTGTAATATATTGCTCACTATTGCTGTCTTCATTTGCAGGAAAAGACCCAAATAGCTACTTTTGGCATGGTAGAGACAATATTACTGATCGTGAATTGAATCCAAAAGTATGACATATAGTCACTGCTTACACTTTTACTAAATCCGCCTCTCTTTTATTCAAAATTATATTTCCTCCGTTCTTTTTAAATTGCAACGTTGGGAGTCTCATTGGGGTAAATCAACCAATGCATATTTTATACCATTAATATCTTTAATTGTATTTTAGGAAAGTTTTAAAAGTTAAATGTTTTTAAAATATACTTCCTCGGTTTTTTAATACTTACAACACATTTTTATTTTTTACGGTACTTGAGAAAAAGTGGGTCATAGATGATTTACCACACTTAAAATGAGGCTGATAGATTGTTAGGATTATAATTAAGTGGGTCGTGAGCTTTAAATAAGAATAATAGTACAACTCTCACCCAAAAAAAAAAAACAAAAAAAAAAAACACCTTCCAATTGTTAAGTGATGCAAGTGCTGTGACCTCTCCATTTTAGGGAAGTGTTGCAATTATTGAAAACCGGAGGAAGCATATATCTAGATAAATCTAATAAAATCCCACTTGATTATATTTTTCCTAATGTATAAATCACACAAGACGGTCAAAGGAGTGTGTTTGAATAGTGTGAAATTTTAAACATTGCGATTGAAAAACAATAGAAAAAGTGACGTTTGGATTTGCCGTAAAGATATCTTGGATTAGTATCAGATTCTTGTTATTGCATGAGCTTCGCATGTATATTCAGTTCCTAGATAACCGGACCCTTTTGACGGGCCTGTTTTACTAGCTGAGGTTCTAATAGGACATTATTAATTTTAGCTTAACTTGTGACTGCCATTTCTACATGTGAAATCTTCCTATTTGTCGTTTGCACGGAGCATACCAAATATTTCTAATGGCATTCCTATGATCATGGTTATCCTCAACTTGTCTTAGGCATGACAGTGTGTGTGTGTGTACTATAAAGTTTATGGTATACCATATACCTTCCTCTTTGGAAAACTCTTATACTTGCTCGAGTAATATTGAAAATAGTACTATAAAGTTTAGGGGTTTTTTTTTTGGCGGTCAGCCAAGACTGTATTATGTTTTTGATTGTAGTGACATGCTGCTTTTTTTGCTCATGCACTTCTTACACAAATGCAGGTTAGATAGGATGAGAAACCTGCTTGCAAGCTTTTTGCTGTCTTTGAGTTTGTATATTTCATGTTGTAATATTATTACTTTGTGGAATTTTCAGACATTGTCATCTGGGTTGGATGACTATCCACGTGCTTCTCATCCCAATGAAGATGAACGCCACTTGGATCTCAGATGCTGGATGCTTCTTGCAGCAGATTGCTTACAGACCATTGTCAAAGTTACTGAAATTTCTAATGAATCGGGGAAGGTACAACGGTGTGAAATATTTTCAAGCTTTGGTATTTGTTAGATTATTAAACCTCATGAATGGATCACTGCAGGAGTATGGTTTCACTGTCAATCAGCTGTCAAATTTTGAAATTCTCAACAAGGTCTGTAATTCTAATACATTTTAAATTTTTCTATTTTAGTGTAGCATGTCATGATTGTCATCCATTCTTATTTCTTGTGTGAGGGTCATGAGAATTTAGCATTACATTTTGTTGCTTCAGCTTGCTTTTGGAGAATTTTTTTATTCTGTGTATATACTTTGTGAAGTTTCTAGACATTTTCTATACAGATGCATCTTGATGAGGCTTTTGGAGCATATTTTGATTTTGGCAACCACACTGAAAAGGTATGCTTCTAATTTAAGTGTTTTTTCAGCTACTTGTATGGTAGCTTGTGACTGTGGTATATTTCCTTTTGTAGGTTCGTTTACGTACGCAATTGAAGATGAATGGAAATCATGCCAGACAAGAGATGGTCCGAGAAGTCCTCGAGGAACCAAAACTTCAATTTGTACCTCATCTTGGCTATGTCAGCCTCTTTCCATTAATGGGAAAACTTATACCTCCTGTAAGTTGCAGGTTTTCTTGATATACCATTTTATGGTTGGAGGTGTTTATCGGTTATGAGAAAAGTGTACATGTGACATGTATTAACATCTGACCATGTTTAAAATGAAAATTTTGGTTGAATGAGAGTTTCTTACCCATCTGTCAAGTTGTTAACTGTCAAGTACCTGACCACAGGTACTCCAAGGAAGAAGATTCTAGATAGGATTACCTTACTTAATTACCTCCAATATTGGATGGTTTAAGATGCTCACAGTTATTCTCATAATTTACTTCATAAATGCATTTCTGTGAAGTAAATTTTTTCCCTGCTGATAAGAGTAACAATTATGTTGCAGGAGTCGTGGATTTTAGGGAAACAGCTCGATCTTATTTCAAATAGAAGCTTATTATGGACCAATTATGGGATTCGCTCCCTTTCCAAATCAAGGTGGTAATCCTTTCACATATGTTGACCGGTCTTCTTGATCTATTGCTGTCAAATTCATGCACTTCTCACTCTTATACATTTAGATTTTTTTTTTTTTTTAAACAACAAAAACTCTGACTATGCAACTTATTTGATTTGCTCCAGCTCCATATACATGAAATACAATACAGAGCATGACCCACCGTACTGGAGAGGGACAATTTGGATAAACATGAATTACATGATCCTCTCTTCTCTCCACCACTACTCTGAAGGTACTTGATTAAGATACAGAAATTTAAATTTTGAATATCTATATGCTTACATGAAGTTTAGTTTTTGGGTGTGACAATTGTATTTTATGGCTGTATCGATTCACAGCTGATGGGCCCTATAAATTGAGAGCTAAAACCATTTATTCTGACTTAAGAAGCAATCTTCTAAGGTACTAGCAATGTTTACCCATGTAATGCCAATATGCTCACTTGCTACATCTGAAGTAGTATGTAGATGTAATAATTTGTATTCAACGTGGCAGAAATATCATTCAAAACTATTACAAGACTGGCTATATTTGGGAACAGTATGATCAGAAGACAGGAAAGGGTAAAGGTGTCCGACAATTTACAGGTTGGTCATCACTTGTGGTGCTAATAATGTCAGAAAGTTACAGCAGTAGCTGGGGAATGTCAAATTCATAATCAGCCAAAGATTTTGAAGAGAAAGTATAATCAACTACAAAAAAATTTGCAGTAGTTTACGCCATGCTTCATTTATGTTAACTGAGAATATTTCGCCACTAGTATTATTGCGTCATTGTGAAATACAAAACTGTAGTGTAAACTTTCTAGATTTGGAAACAGGCATTGTGCCAATCACTACAAATCAAATTCAACTGGACAATTGCGCATGTCAATTCATTAACACAGTTAAAATGAGCAAGCTATAGTAAGACTTATGAAGCACAGAATCTGGTTTTACAATTACTTTAGCTGGATTCTTCAGGATTGATCAATGTGATGTTATTGCACTTTCGAGATTCAAAGCAAGCTGGATTCCTCGGAATTGATCATACATGTATTGAGAAAACAGCTCTCTAGTCTGTACTATTACCATATTTTACTCACTAGTACGATTATAACCCATTGTACTATTGATATAAAGTTACAAAATTAAAAATTACTAAGTTACAATATCTGCAGTAAAAAAATATGGTGCAAGCAAACCCGTCCATCTCATGAAAGCTCTTAATCAACTACCATCTCCAATCATTTCAGTATCTTCAGACATAATAATTTCCATATCCCGAATGTCTCGCTTCAATACATTACCAAGTCTTGCTATGGCATCAGTTTGCTGCTGTAAAACCTGCCAAATCAATAGTACCAATGAAGAAAAAAGAAAGAAGCTGATGCATATGGTTTAGAAGCTAAACTGCAATGAAGACTGCATTGCATGTGAGACGACAATTATATGAGAATTGTGATATTTGGACAAGACTAATTCATAAGAAAGTTTTCTAGTTGTCAACAAAACTTGTTTTATAAAAAATAAGAATTAAAAAGAAAGCAATTAAAATGGAGAATCTCATAATTTACTAGCATAAAAATGATAAAATTAAGTTCTAAATTTTCCAAAAACATATTGTTTCGGGTGAAAACAATGGGACCTTGTCGAAGGTCCGATGAAGTGGAGAAGACTAGATTCGATCCAAGTAATGTTGGGCCGAAGGTTTCCTGCACAGTAAACACACGTAAACTAGCCTCGGGGGTGTTGCCGAGGAAGACCCCTCCGATGCTAAAGTCAGTACAGTGTGTAGAAAGAGAACACTATGCAAGAGAATTAATTGCTTGAGGCTTTGCTTTAATGAATGTACAAATGTAATATTGATGGCTTTTATACCTTTGCATACATGGAGAAGTTGGGCCTTAGCCCAATTGGCTTGCCTTGAGGACTGATCTTTGACTTTAGCACAATTGGAGAGATGAACCTTGACCTTGGGCTTTTAATTGGATCATTTAATGCCTAGGCCCAATTGGACTAAATTGGACCCAAACAACTTGCCCCCCAGACCCGATTTGGAAGGATGACGGGTCGGGTTTGATTTAATCAGAAAAGGAGGGAAGTGAATGATTTAATTAATCCAAAAATTTGAATTTAAACCGTAATTAATGAGATAACAACAGTTAAGGCGGATAATTGTGGAAGTTGGACGGATAATGGGCAGTTTAATCGCAAGGTCGTGTGTTTAACGGTTACTTAGTGGGGTATTTAAGAGAAATTGAAACGCGGACTCCCCGTATTCCCATTTCTGGAGATATAATTAGAGGCACGTCATCTCTCCTCACTTATTCACCAACACAAACCCAGAATTCTCGAAAGAACCCAAGAACCAGCATCAAAACTTCGCAAATTCCCCGAGCATTAAGCTTAGAAACTGAGACTCGCCACTACCAATTCGTAAATCGGCAACTTTCGCTTCAGATTAAGGTAAATTCCTTTGATTTTAGTTTATTTTTCTTCGAATTTGAACTCCTTCCCTTTTTTTCGACTTTTTTCTTCGAAATTATCAATGGCGAGAGGAGTTAGGGGTAGAGCCCGTGCTCCAAGAAGAGCAAGGCCAATTCCCGATCCCAGGAACAGGATTGGGACCTGGAATGGACAAAGAGCAGAGTCTGACCCTGCTGAAGGGATTAGGGCAACTCCAATTTCCTCGGCTCCTCCTCAGAGAACGGAGGGGCCGAGCGCTTCTGGGCGGGACGATGAAGTTCCCGCTGTCCTTTGGGATATCCTTCCCGGGTTTTCAGAGTGGGAGGATGCCGAAGTAGCTTCGGCCATGATAAAGAACCGCCCCTACTCATGGTGGGTGGTGAATGCCGAACAGTATCGGTTTGCCGAACAAATTGAGTTGCATTACGGCATCCTTGAAGCTGATGGGTATTGGTGCCGAATGCCCATGGCATCCGATAGAATCCATCGTCCACCCCCGGGGTATGTGGGGGTGTACACAAGACAACTTCAGTATGGGCTGAGGTTCCCTTTGGACGTATTCGTCCGAGACTTGCTGATCCATTACAATATTTCCCTATGTCAGCTAACTCCTATTAGCATCCGAAGGGTTATGACATACTTATGGGTCTGCAAGTTCTTCAGGTATGTGTCGAACCTGCACTGCTTCAAAAAGCTTCATCGGCTAGTGCCGAATATTCAAAGTGGGCACGGAAGTCATGGTTCTGGGTGGTACCGGATTGAGTCTCGGCCCCAGTACCTAACCATGTGGCCGAATGACTCTTCAGACAAGGACTGGAGAGGTCAATGGATTTGGGTTAGGGCACCCACAGACCCGGGCCACCCTTGCGTCTTCAGCGCTCCCTGGTACCTTGCTGAGCCTGATCCCGATATGGGAAGTTTAGGTCCCCCCGCAGATAACGGCCCAGATCCAAACCTTAATCAACAGAATATCTTCGGCAAGCTGCCGAACCAGGGGGGCAGCGGCCGAATGCAGCATATCCCGGAGACTTGGCTCCCCGATACGCATTACGTTTTCAAAAGAGAACATGCTAGCAGCTGTCGGCCTCAGCCGAAAGTTTAAGGATGGTAAGCTTCTTCGGCTGGGGCGAGGCCTTTTAATTATCTCTTTTTCTCCTCTCACTTCGCTTTTTTATGCTGTGCCAACCTAACTGAACTGACCTTTCCCCTTTTCTTTTTTAGAGCGGGACGAGACCAACGTCGGCATTAACTACGCTCGTCTTGGCGTCAACCGAGAACGAGTTGTAACTGATCGGGCCCCCTCTATCACTGAACCGCGGCATAGAGAAGTTCATCTAGACTCTTCCCACTTCCAAATTGAGGTTGTTGCTCTGTATCAGAGGCAGAAGCCTTGGTGGAAGAAGAGAGATCCCTGGTTTCAGCTGCTGGACGAAGAAGCTGAAGTTGTCCGTACGGCCGAAGAGGTTGCACAGGTTATTGAAGCTTGTGAAGGAGGAGAAGGGTCCTCCAGGGCTGCTGAAGAAGAAGCTGCAGCTAGGGCAACTGAAGAAGACGAGGCTTTGCTGAAGACCTCGGTGAGCTTTCAGACTTAATTTTCTGTTTCTGTTTGTTGTTTTGTTGTTTTGTTTTTTTTTTATTTACTCACATTCTTCCTCCCCCCTGTATTTTACAGTCTGAAGAGAGTAATAGACACAGAGAAGGGAAAGCCCATGTTCGTCCCGAAGACCAGATAAAAGAAGAGTCCTCAGACTCAGACATGGACGAGCAGCCGCTTCAGAAAAGGCGCCGAAGAATGGCCATCATCGGCCCCCATGACTTTCAGCGGAGGCCGATGACCATCGGCGTCGAAATAAGGGAACCCGAGGAAGGCAATGGATCGCCGAGGGTTCCCCGGCCACCACCTCAATCACCTCCAAAGACCCCTCCGCCACCTCCCGAGATGGAGGTGGATCAGAAAACTCCCGAACCTAAGGGAGGGGTCCAAGAAGAAGTTCAAGAGAGTGCTGCTGAGCACAAGAATGAGGATGCCGTGATGCCCAGTGCTGAGGGTTTCACGGCAGACATTGCAAGAGAGGTTGAGGCCTTCGTTCTCACCCCTGAAGAAGAAGAGGTCATAATAATTGACTCTTCTGAGAAGGAGGATGCTGAGCCATCCAAAGTTAAAGAAGCTTCATCGTCATCCTTTCCTTCCTTCCAGACTCTGCAATCTGGAGAAATGAGTTTCTCGGCCCCCCGAATTCCAATCCCAGATCACATCTGGGACCTCATATGGGGTCAAAACCGAGAAGGTGCTGCAGCCTACTTCGGCGATTTTGCTGGCATGTCCAAAGTAGATAGGGCAAGAATCTGGTCGCTGAAGGCCACTGCTGGGATGGGCGAATCCAGCAGATCAGTTCCTGACCCAGCCAGGTCTAACCAACTGCTGATGATGCAGGTGATTTTCCTTGCCTTTATCTCCTTTAAAATTCAGCTCTTTACTTATCATTATTATTATTATTTTTTATTTTAACTTGTGCTCCTGTTTTCAGTTCGTGCACAATCAGACTCTCACTGTAGAGCTGATAGATACCCTACAAGATAGGGTAGACGCTGCCGAGCACGACAAAAAGGTAGCCGAAGAGGAGTTAAAGCTTGCTAAGCTGAAGCAAGCAGCAGCTGAAGAGAAGCAGCAGAAGGGTGAAGAATATGAGAAAAAAGCTGCTGAAGCCTTCAAAACCTTCTGCGATGCTATGGAGAAGGAAGTTTTTCCCCCACTGATGGAAGGGGAAAAATTCCTCCAAGAGCACATGGGAGTGGACATCTCCAAATTCAAGGCTACCATTGAGAGCCGAATCCAGGAAGAGCTGCTGCACAAGCTGAAGTGCAGCAACGGCTAGAAGCTCTTGAAGCCAGCAGAATGGCTGCTGAAGAGATGCTTCATCATGCGCTCAACTTTAGACTTGCCGCTTTCTGAATTTTTGCCTTGTTTGTTTTTTTGCTTCAGCTTGCCTTGTCGTACAAAACAGTTTATTTTTTTGCTTCTGTACGTATTTCGGCAGCTGTTATTTTCCGCTTGTGGGCGGCTGCCGATATAGTTTCTTAACTTATTTGAACTTGTAGCTCAATTTCTGAGCATAAATTATTAATTTGATGTTCTTTTCTTCAGCTGCTTTGTTTTTGAGTGCTTTACTGTTTCTTCAATTCTGCTGAATATAAACTTGCATTGGTAGTGCTTCTTGCCCCCCCCCCCCCAGAAATTGAAGTATGGCTTCAGCTAAATAAACAATTTCTTTATTTCTTAAAAATGGGTATTCGAAACACAGGGCCAACTGAAGGCAATGCTTCGTATAATGGCTTTCTGGGATACAAGGCTCAGTTAAGGCAATATCCCAGAATTGTCCATGGACTCATGCCTTTGGAGAACAAATCTTACTGAAACTTGACTTCAGCTGAAAGACTAGAGTTCTTTAAAAAGACGAGTTTGCCAGCAATCAGAAACCCAGTTACCCGAAGGCGAAGGTTTCAGACGAGGCTGAATAAACAATTTCCAACAGTTGCTGTTATCCTTGATTTTCTGTCTATCATTGAAAAATGGATATCCGAAACACAGGGCCAACTGAAGGCAATGTTTCGGATAATGGCTTTCTGGGATACAAGGCTCAGTTAAGGCAATATCCCAGAATTGTCCATGGACTCATGTCTTTGGAGAACAAGTCTTACTGAAGATTGACTTCAGCTGAAAGACTAGGGTTCTTTAAAAAGACGAGTTTTGTCAGCAATCTGAAACCCAGTTACCCGAAGGCGAAGGTTTCTGACGAGGCTGAATAAAAAACCCTTAAAGAGTAGATAGAACCGAGAAAACTTTGAAAGGATAAAAAGTTGCGAATATTTATATAAAT